CACTTCTTATTACCATAAATTCTGTCGGATGTTTCATTGAAACTATATACATTTGCTTTTATCTCTTCTATGCACCAAAGAAGGTAAATAATATCTTATCAAATCATTTTGTCTAAAAGTTTAAACGATAAAATAGATTACGAGTTTATATAGATGAACTATTTTCAATAAATATTGGAACTTTTTTGAAATGCAGGTACAAACTATAAAGTTAATTTTACTGCTGATAGTTTGTGGGTTTGGTCTCATCATTCTCTCAAATCAACTTCTGGTGAAAGCTTCGGAACGTGCCCACGTTGTTGGATGGATTTGTCTTGTATTTTCATTGTGTGTATTTATTGCCCCATTAGGCATTCTGGTAAGCATAAAAAAATTAAAGTAGAAAATCAATTAATTTTCCTCTCAAGTTCTTATTTCTTTGTTTCGTTTTTATTTATTTACTTGGCAGAGACAAGTTATACGAACAAAGAGCGTCGAATACATGCCATTTCTTCTATCATTTTTTCTCACAATAAGTGCTGTTATGTGGTTCTTCTATGGTTTGCTGCTCAAGGATTATAACATTGCTGTAAGTTCATACTGTGTTTCTTTTTTCAATCATGCTACATTTACATCATCTTTTACGTTGTGCAACTTGACAACAAACCATTGGACAATTTAAAAAAACAAACAATTTTCCCTCCATTCATCTTTTAACACCACATCAAATGTCAACAAGGATGTACACTTGGAGTGCACATCTAGTATTCACTACTTAAAATCAGTTTTTCACCTATGACTAATTACGAATGGATTGACGGATTATCCGCTCATAAAAGTATTATACTTTTAACTACGAAAATCACCAATGGAATTTCCGTTAGTAAAAGTGGTAGTTTTTCACCAACAGATATTCCGTGCCAAATGTTGCCGTTTAATATGTTTACCATTTATAAACAGCATTTTCGTAGGTGATATAATTCAACTTTAAAAAAAAAAAAAAAAATTGTCAACCTTTCACCTACGAGTTTTTCGTGGGTGAAGAGTAGTTTATATTACCAATGGAATTGTCGTTGCTAATATTAATCAATTTTAATAATTGCAAAATTCAAACATTTTCCTACGAAATATCCATAGGTGAAGGGTAATTAATTAATTTTTTTTTTTAATTAAGCTTCTTAGCCAATGAAAAATTCATAGGTGAAGATTAATTCATATTACCTACGAAAAATCCGTTGATGATATTAATCAATTTTAATAATGTCAAACCAAAAAAATTTTATTCCACATCGAAAATTCACAACAAAATCTTTGGAGATTGCATATATAAATTAGTGGTCTAATAAGTGATTAAACAAATTTTTAAACCTTTCACTTAAGTTGGATAAAAGTTCAAAAAAATTATAGTTATTAAAAAATAAATATATAATTTTTGTCGCACCTCGCACCTATGTCTACATTTACAACGCTGATTTTTACCAATTGTAATGGTAGACATTTACCAACGGAAAATTGGTTGGTAGTGGTTAAATTTTTTTAAAAGGTTCACACTTTACCAATGGAAATTTTGTTGGTAAAAAGTTTATTTTTTATCTACGACGCAATCCGTTGATAAATATCAGCGATCCTCAAATTAACAACCGATTTATGGTTGCTAATATTCCATTGGTAAAAAGTAATAGCAACGGATATCTTGATTTCAGGAACGAAAAATCTGTGCCTGAAGCCATGTTTTTTTTATTATTATTCTTCTTTTCAATTAAAATCTCTCATCTCTATATGGTATTTGACATTTCCTCCACCTTTAAAGCACGGCTTTTAAACATCTTGTTCGTTAATTTTTGCAAATAATATTTATTTTACTTTGTCCATACAGATTCCAAATGTTTTAGGCTTCAGCTTTGGCGTTATACAAATGGTACTTTATGTAATATACAGAAACGGAGCTAAGAGTGACAAGAAAAAGCTTCCTGAAATACCAAAGAAAATTATAATTTTGGAAGAACACAAAATTCCAGAATTAACTGAGCAAATTATTGACATTGTGAAAATCAGTGCACTGTTAAATTCAGAGAAAATTCCAGAGGTTTCACATCCAATTAATGATGGAATCGAAGAAGCTCGTGAGCATCAGAATATGCCAAAGGACATTGAAGTTAAAATGTAAACAGTAAATTTATGTGGACTCTCTCATGGGCCGGGTTTTTTTATTTTTTTTAATTTTTTTTTTCTTGATTTTGTTTCTAGTCTGTAATATATAATCTAAATAACGTTGTGCACTGTTCACTTTTCTTGCTTAATTATCTATTTATGGATGAGAGAGTCGTTTTATTAACTGATTGCAAGAATGAGCTCATTTTATTTAATTCTTTCTGATAGTGTAAACATTCGAAAAAATTTACTATGTAATTACTGATCGAGCAACGTCAATAGAAGAAAAATAATAGAATAGAGGCTATGTTGAAACTCGATTGATAACGGCGTAGTTCGCACAGTATGCCAAAAAAAAAAAAAACTCTTTCTTAGCATTAGCTATGTATTATCCAGCGCACTTTACCGAACATATTATGGCTTATATTTCTTGGTATTTTTTATCCTTTTTCTTCACCAATGAATTAATAAGTTATGTCTCAATATTTAGTATATATAAATGATGTTTTAAACATGTTAAGCACCGAGAACATAACATATCAATTATTTGGTATTAATTTTTTAATTTATAAAAATTTTGATAAATTTATTCATCAATTAATTGATTTTTTATATTGCTGGCAATTAGCAAAATTTTAACAAAACATATTGCAGCAAGATTTGAATTGGAGACGTCATAAGATGTCCACCTTGCTTTAATTTGATGACAACTTTTACTTTATTTCTTGTCTTTAATTTTAGTTAATTATCAAACAAAAAGCATCATAAGATATCTTTGTTTTTTTTGTGAATGTCCCATGTTT